GTTGAGGCTAGACTTAAGATAGTCTTCGATATCACCACACTTACTAAAAACTTCACCGTCTTATGACTTTACCAGTACTCTACCTAACGTGTAAGTACTGATTAACTCAATCAAAGTTTAAAAGCTAACAATGGAAAGAATTCTTAGTATGAGTTGTATTTAACGTAACTGAATAACAGATTTAATAAATAAAGTGACTGTACAACTTAGCTGCAGACGTTGCTGGAGGTAGGCTCGGAGAGTGTGCAGAAAGAGAGCACAACAAGAGAGCGAACCAATGAACGTACGGAAGACTCACAACTCAAAAGATAAAAAGTGTATCACCGTGGGTGAGCGAGTTTAAACAAAAGTTCAAAGGTACAATGTGCACTACAAGTATATGGTTTTACGCATTTATTCTTGCTTTCTTGAATATCATATATGGTATTGAGCAGATCACATATTGTGGAGATCTGAATAGTTTCAGGTTCCAATTGAAACTTAGGTGAAATTTCACGTCCCCGAACCGCATACATTGCAAAATGTGAATTTAATAGCATGAATAGTTCTCTTAGGTTTTATACTGACTATAATGGTGGGACTGACGAGGTGCATTTAATGGTTTTAGTGTTTGAAATGACAGAAATTGAATACAAGCCTGAAATGATGAAACAGTACCATGTTGAATGAGATTTAGATATCGACGACACTTGTTACATAATACCGAACCACTGCTTCCCTTGATGGAAAATGTCAACTTATGGTATAAAATTGGATTAGAAAAGAGAGTTATGAGTGGTTAAAATGAAAAATGGAATCAATCCTTGAAGTCTCCGACTATTGGCGACATATCTGAAAACTGAACACAACGAAGCAGATGCATTCACTTTTTGTGATCTCTCCTCGACCCATTAAATCGTCATTATTTTTCTTTCTCGTGTACTGTTATGATATCGCCGACTGTGAGTAGGAATGCTAACTGACGATAATGAACACTGAATGATTTATTGGTCAATTATTCTTTAACTGAAACTAGTAAAATCCCGAAGACCTTCACATTGTGTTTGGAAAATGGATATTTCTAAACAAGTGAAAAAGAAAGTGAACAAGAGCGGGAAAATACATGGCACATATTAATCCAGTCATAAGGCTAGAAGATTATGGCTAAGATCCCCATAAAGGGGAGAGAGACATGAGTGCGTGCTGCTGAAGAGACGAAATATCTGTTCATTATTCTGTTTTGTTCAGTGATTATGTCATTGAAGTTAGTTAGTGATCAAACTTAAAATCAGTCGAATCTCTACAAAATGAAACTTCAATATTTGATATTTATTATATATTTTCTCAATAATTCAATTATTATCACATTTATACGGTTGGAATTATTGACGTTAGTAGACGTCTTAGCGAAGAAATTTTACTTCAAATTGTGTACTTCTTGTTGCCGTTTAAGAATTTCGTTATTTATTTATTAATATTATTCCCCTAGGTTCCGAGTGGAATATTACGCTTCAACATCATATCTCTGTTTCATCTTCCTGTCTGTAATCCTTTCAAGCTGACTGTGCGACTGCCCATAGGCTCTCATCTCCTCTTCAAATGGCCTCCAGCATACCAGGATTCTGCCTAGATAAGTGAAGGAAATGAGTTCCTTCAGTTTTCTTCCATTAAGAATGCTTGTTTTTGTTGTTGTTAGTTGCTTCGTTATCTTCATCATCTCTATATCTTCCCTAAGTTCACTTGAAATCATTTCTTTGCTGCCAGCCTCTTAGGCCAACTTGTTGGTTCTCTCCTGTAAACCTTCATGTTTGTGCGACAGTAAAGACAAATTCTCCGTGAAATCCACACTTTCTAGTGTCTTCTAGTCGGTCCAACGGATTTATGTCGTCTCGCTTGTCATACACAGTCTTTCTCATAATCCAATCCACCACAGTTAGGCATATCACTGTTGATAGTAGTCAGGCTTATCTTAGTCCTGTTCCCATTCCAAGGGTTTCGTTGAGTTTTCCGTTGTGAATCACCTGATATATATCTGTTGAATGAAGTTCATCGTGTTGAAGTAGTTTCCAAATTACTTCACGGTCAACGCTATCGAAGGCATTATAAAAGTCAATGAAGTTGAGTTAGAGATTTGACTATCATTCTATGTTCTGTTCGATGATGATGCGTAGTGTTGCAATTTGATCAGAAAATTTTGTTGACAAACAGATAAACAAAAAACTGAATACTATTCACTTTTGATTAAATTTTATTACATACATATCAAGATTTTGTTGATATTGTTTGTGACAGACATTAGACTATGTACCTTTGTAAGAACAGAAGACAAGGGCCAGGCAACAGATCGTTTTACTACGGAAATCAACACGTATTTATATAAATTTCACATACATTATTATAGCCTAATCAAGTAGACAAATGCAGTCTTCTGATTGGTTGTTTTAGAGTTCCTCGGAAAGTGGAGCCATCTATCTGCGGATCATATTTGCCCACGTTTAAGTTTGCTGTGATTGGTTGTTGAAACAGCCTTGTTCATATTTCCTCATGGCCCATATTAGTGACCTAGACATTGACGTAGATTAATGTCGACCAATTGGCTAGCAGGCTGCTCTCACCACACCTTAATAATTTTTACAGCATTTATCTTCTCAGTAAATGATTCTATAAGAATGCTATAGAATTCCAGTAAGCATGGTACTCAGATGCATCTTCAATCAATAAACAAATTGATAAAGATGATGATTTATCAAAAAATACCACAAAGTAACATAGAGAAAAGCTCAAGAAAATAATCAATACTAATAGAAGTGTACGAGATAATGAGAGAATTTCCAGAAGCAGTCAGTCACCTTCAGTTTCATCCGGAAAGATGAATGTACAACTCATAGAGAATTCCCGAAAATCTCACTTCACTTTGGATTGTTCGCCTGAAGATGTTGTCTAGAAGAGAAGTTTCACAGATAAATCATCTGGCTCAAATAAAACAGTTATACTAACAGTAGAGAACTTTAAAGCACTTAAATCAATCGGTTGTCTGAATTCTCATCGAGTTAGAATGCATCAGCTTTTCTTCATTCCTTATTACTTTAATCGTATGAAGGATTTCATCATGAGCTGACATCAGTTAGAGAACCACTGGAGAATCTGGGAGTGATGGACAGCTGTTTTATCTTAGTTTGAGACTCTTCATCCGCCGGGGTTCGAACCCAGGACCTCCTGGCTACAAGGCAAGCTCGTAGACAGCTGAGTCACTGGGACCGGATCCAATGGTTCCTGAATTCTAGCTTCTGCCAATTCATGACATAGCTCAATGGTCTACGAGCTCGCCTTGTAAGCAGAGGGTTCTGGGTTCGAACCCCGGTGAGTGCGTACTGCTAAAGAGTCCCGAGCTAGGATGAAACAGTTAGCTGTCCAGTACACCCTGCAGATTTTCCAGTGATTCTCTAACTGACGTTAGCTCATGATGGAATCCTCCATACAATCAAACAAAATCCCTACAAAACCAATACTTGAATATTACTTTAATCATTCAAGTATGCTTGTGAGTGTTATGTCCTCAAACACATTGTTAGTTAGCGTTCAACCTATTACTATACATTTCTCAGAGTTAATGATGGAAACATTTTGTATGGGGGTGAGATAAAACAATGCTTCAGACTACAAAAAATAATTCGCAACACGATATATTATCGATTTTAATTTTTTTCGAAACATATCATGTTGCACTATGTCCAACTTCGCAGTTATGAAATTCAAACCACTATTTGCAACCTACACAGCTGGGTGTGTGTGATTGTGAGTGTGTGAAATTTCAGCAATATTTCCATTGAAACTCGAATTTATTCAGATCACCAGAATATGTGTGATCAGCCTTGTACCATAAACACCAGTCAAGAAAACAAGCATAAATGAGTATAACTATATACTACTGATTTGATTGATATAAGTAGTTGGTTATCAGTCACATTAACCGGTAGTACTTGATGGCTAATCAAATCGAGTTATGTTCAGACTACTAGCCTTTTTGTCGAATCCCTTGAAAACCACTTGAAATGTAACGACAGAAGACAGCTCTCACCAGACTTGTCCCCCCATCAAAGATTTTCTTTCGACTGAAGTTGATTCGGTCTTCTTGGCCCGGGTGACTTGATTCGTTTCTCTTGCTGTCTGGAATTCCGGCTGTCGCTGGCGTTCACCTATTTCTCTCTCTCTTTACATTTGCGATCGTATCTGCGTGACCCAGTCTCACAGTGACTGTGTGTGTGTGTTCCTTCCCACTTTGGAAGCTGTTTGCCTGACCCTGGAGTGCATTCATCAGTGTTTCGCCTTACACTTTCACATGATGCTTTCACCCGACCTTGCAGCAGCGTTCCAAGTGACAGCCTCATCGTTGACAGATCTTGAGCGCCATTCAACTGCGCAACAGCCTCGAAGTTCTGCTCGAAGATCCATATAACTGCATCAAAAACTGCAGGACATAGGCTTTCCATTTATCGGTAGGCAGCGACACCAAATGTAACGGCCAGGCAACAGATCGTTCATTGAGAAAATCAGCAGATATTTATAGAATTTTATGTACATTATTATTCGTTAATGTTAGCAGAGAAGCAACGTCTTCTGACTGATTGCTTTCCTGCTGAAGGTCATTCTGTCATCTCTTTGTGACCGTTTCTTAGACAGTTCGTTGACATATCCACTAATCGTATCCCCCCACGCAAATTCTACTGTGATTGGTTGTTGAGTTCCTCAAGGTTAGGCTTTGTTCTTGTTTCCGGATTCGGGACGTAAACATTGATGTAAATTGCTGTCTACCAATTTTGGCTAGTAGACAGCTCCCACCACAGAAATCTTGGCAGACTAGTAATATACAGAATTTCATATACAACTTAAACATTTCGAGGAGGTGAAAATTATACCATCGTTTCCTTTAAAGATCAAAATTATTCAGATGATAATGTATGATCCTGTAATAACACACAGTGAGAATTCTGTACCACATGAAAAAATACAGTCTAGAATAATGGTATTATTGTTATTATTGCTATTTATGTTTATATTTCATTAAAACAAAAGATTATATATATTTATAGATATTTATATTCACATTTAATGCATAGCTGTACCTCTTGATTATAAATATTTTCAAAAGAGCGTTGAAATTAACAAATATCTAAAATTCAAATATACCTCGCTTGACCGATTTAAACAAAATCCATTTATTCAATGTCCAAGAGGTATATATATATTGTCGAAATAAAGGCTTTTATTACGAATAATGATTGAAAAAAAATTAGATTCGATAGTTGAAAGTAATTTGTATTTATTTAATTTATCATAAATAATAGTAATTAAAACAGTATTGATAGTAAAAATATTATTATTACTGTTATTAATATATTTATGATAATAACAGTGATAATTGTAGAAAATAAAAAATATATATCGTATAAAATGAGATGATATGTATGTATTTGCGTAAATATGCGACATATATATATATAAAAACTGGTTGGCAGTATGATTCATGAAGGTTTTAATTTTTATATAAAATCAACTTCACTGTCTAATTTCGAATAAGCATGTACAATTTTCACAGTTTTGCGTGTTTTTGCACGATCCTCTTCTGTGGTACTTTTCAGATACTTGTCAACATTATCAGTTTCAGTAGATTCATGAGATAGAGCATAGACTATGGATATATGCTTTTTACCTCCAGTAGATTTATTATCATTGTTATTATTCATATCATTATATCCATGATGTTGATCATTATGATTTGTATGATTAGCACTACTCTCGAGATAATCGTCTAGTGCTTTGATTTCAGCCGCTGCAATCTCTTTAGCCTTATTGTTTATCTCACTGTCATGATGACTGATTTTACCCGCGGAATTTAAATCTTCACGGATATCTTTTAATACTGAACTGCTATGATCCGACATGTGTTTATCAGTCTCGATTTTGTTATTTGCATGAATATTATTACCAGTAGTAGTGGTAGTAGTATTACTATTACTATTTTTATCAATATTATTATTACTCTCCTTTAAACTGATAATTGGATTCTCACTACTGAATCTATGCGCAGTAGATGGGGAGTCAGGAGTTTTTTTAGGCAGTGTCTCTTTTTTCTCTGGATCAACGGATAGACGTCGAAACATTTGATTCAGTGTATTCTGTGGTGTTATTGAATCACGCTTAGATAAATCCCGCTTGATGTCAAGTTTTATCTCTGATTGGTTGGGTGCTTCTAAATCAGCTGATTGGTAGATTTTTTTCAAATCTTCAATTAAAAGGTCTTCTGAAAATCCAGAGGTATGTGCGAATAGTTCATCTCTCAATTCTTTGGGAGTTTTTCTTTCAGTCAACGATTCTATGGTAGACTAAAATAAAAGTGAACAAAAATAGGGATGATGATCGTGATAATGACGAAAAAGATAAAATAATAATTAGATAGATAAATTATGCAAGTATTGATGCGGTGTCAGACTATTGTTATTGTTGTCAGCTTTAGTTCCTGGAGGAACACAGGGCTTCACCCACACATCTTCAATGCGTTCGGTTCTCCGCTAACATTTTCATCTGGCTTCACGTCTACCAACGTGCCTTCATCTCCCCTTCACATCAACTTATCCTCCATGTCATTCTCGCACTGACGCCAAACTAACCGCTTCCGAATTCGGGTTCAATTTGAGCAATGGCCTGACGTGTGATGGATGTTACTTGATGGTTTGTTTTGGTCAGTCCACTTCCATTTCTTTCTGCAGTGTCAGATTACTGTTCATTAATGATAACATTGATGATAAACGCGTAGTTCAGAGAAGAGGCTCTATTCAGCGAATTCATTTTATTCCTTAGCTCTGCAATCGTACTCATATTCAGTTTTTCATGAGAGACCGTAATAGCAAAAGTTATGAGTTGATACAACCATAGTTGTTCATACTAGCCAGTGCATAGGAGTAGTTGAATAGGTGTATTAGAGAGAGGGGAATGGTTTAATGAATGAGTTGAAATCACGACGAAAGCACCTAGCGACGAAATAAAAGATGGAATTATGCGAGAGTTTTTAAGAAATACAAGAGTTATTAGAAGAGTTAGAGAAACAAACAAACAAAGAAGCGAAAATCAAGTCAGCAGAAATCAACGAGGTTGTTACCATGAAAGCAGAAGTAGTTGAATAATTTTCTTTTGTATGCAGATCTCAAGTTTCTCTATCTGAATGGCTTCAGCAGTGCAAAGGAGATGGAAGCCTATTGCTTTTGCCAGACTGTTCTTCACTTTGTAGATTGCTTTATATTTTATATTTTATTTATTTATATTTTTGATTACAGCTTGATTCCACACTGTATTTTTGGCACAAGTATGGAATTTTCAGCATGGATATCGGTAGCCCAAATTTTGCAGGCCGACCATTTGCAGGAGACATTTGTTGAGATGGAATGATCAGTGTTCACGAGGTGTTCGATTATTGCACTCCTTATAGAGATACTACTACTTTTTTTGCAGCCATGCTTGATAGTGTTCGCAAATCATTTTGGACAGGATACGCGCTGAACAACCAATATACTAACTGTCTCCTTATGAACAGGTGAGCTGATATATGCATGAAGAAGTGGTGACATGAGAGATTTTGTCCTTCAGGCTTTTGCACACCAATGAACGACTGGAGAACACTACTATTAACTATAAAAAACATTGTTTACAAATGCGATTGTACAGCTTAGTGAACGAATTCACCAGAAACAGCCTCTTCGTGTTCTATTTTCATTGACGTCTGTATGGGGATCATTCATCAAAAGAAGGTCACTATTCAGCTGATTAAGATGTTCAGGTATCTTAAGTTCTATTTGAAATTCACAAGATAATGATAAGTGGTTTCATAGATTTGTTGAAGAAGTGACCTCTTCAGTTAAATATTTTGAATATCACTTTCTCAGAATGTCATCAAATCAAGCAGAAGACACTTAGTTAGTGAAAACTGTGAGATGGATATTACTATCTTCTAATGGTTGTTTCAGCAGCATAATGAATATATATGTATTGCACTAATTGAAGGAGAAGATGAAGAAGCACAGTAGACAAGAATTCCAGTGAACATAGGGAAGAGACATATGGTGGTGATATCCCGACACCACCACCACCAACAACAACAACAAGCACCAATCACCATGAAGAGGAGAAATTTGAAGAAGTTTACGGCTTTCTCTTATGTAGGCAGCATCATATCAACTACAGATGGACGTCGTGTATTAAGATGTCAGAGGTGATCAGAATCAGAAAAGAAAGACGGACCTTGATTGCTCTGAAGTCTCAGTGGAAATCTCCTGTACTCAATGTAAAAAACTTGGTTTGAATCTTAAAACACCAATGTCAAGTCACTGATTCTATGCGGTATGGAGACTTGGCGCGCCACAAAGTACATTTCCAACTGGCTACTGAGGACTTTTATCAATAATTTCGGTTGCTTAGTACTGTGGTCCTCCCCTAGTTTACTAGTTCTCTCTCCCAGCACGGATATAGAAGGCTCGTTTAGCAAGTGCCAACTTACACCATCTATAGTGTAGACCTAATATCTGGCTGGTCATCGATCAAAGGGCATATGTACTGCTCAGCAGTTCGCTCTGTCCTCCTTGATGGCTGTGAGAGCGACATGGCCATTGAAATTGAAAGATATTCAACTGCTGGCTAGTTGTCTTTGATTATGGGTGTCTTCGTTCTTTCTCCCGTGTTAAGTGGTATAATAGGGTGAGCAATATTGAGGTTAGGCATTGGTCGAGTGCTAGGTAAGTAGATGAAATTAATCGATAATGTTGCGAAGTTACACCGACTGAGATGGCTAGGACATGTGTTATGCATGCCTATCAATCGATCTCCTTCCTCGAAAATGGGGAGTGTTAGCCGAAATAGGATCAGGTCGGAAAAGAGCCAGTAGTGGCCAAATTAAAACTTGGTATCAGTCAATGAAATCCACAACAGTCAGTTTAAGCCAGTCAGATAGACTACCTGACTGGTTGGTGTATTCCGGATGGTAAAATAAAAAAAATTCTAATAAAAATTCTAATTCTAATAAAATTCTAATGTTTTTCCATATTACTATACTTTTTCCCTCACACTTCTGTTTATTATCTCTCTTTTGAGTATCCTTTTACTGTCTTTTCTTGCTTTTTCTGCCTGATGGAGTGGGACGACTCAAACTGCTGCACATCTGCGCAAAGTTCCAAGTTGAAACCAGTCAGTCAGTTGGTCAGTTTTCTAGCAGGTCCTAATTTTTCCACGTCAAAGTGATGTGTATTCACACAAAATGCATTGTCGAATAAATGCTCCGATCAAGTGAGCAGTAACTCATCCAGTGGATTAAACTCTGAATGGTTTAGAGTTTAAAAACTCCTTTGCCTTTGAGTTGATGTCTTTAAAGAGTTCAGAACCAAGAAGAAATGACTGTCTAGTGGTTTCCAGTTACATCGTCTTCTTACACACACATCTTCATCCTAAATAACCAACTGACTGACTAACTAATTTCAACATAGAAATTTGCACAGATATGCAGTAGTTCAACTTGTCAAACTCTATTCACCACACACAAAGGAGGATAAAACAGAGAAAAAGAAACTGAAAATAACAATAATGAGGAGGAATGTGAGAGAGAGAGAGAGAGAAAGAACAATAACATGGAAAAATAATGGACATGGAAGAACTCAAACACTGAATTCATCTGAGCCATTGAAAATGATTCCGACACATATCACTAATTGTCTCCAGCCATTGGTTCCAAGAATTTCGAAGACTATAACCAGCTAGTCTACACCTCCTTACGTGGCTGAAACTATTTTTTTTATTTTTTTTTATTTTTATTTCAGCTTGAATCCACACCATATTTTTTGGTACAAGTATGGAATTTTCAGCATGTGATATCGGTAGCCCAAATTTTGCAGGCCGACCATAGATATCAGGTGTGCGTCGACAGAGGATCGAACTCTGGACCATGTGCATGGTCGGCGAGTCCTAACCACTGTGCCACCGACGCACAAACTAACTGTTAAAGATTTTACGGACTAGTCCGGAGTTTTGGTTTGACCGCCAATATCTCTTTGCCGTGTAATCCTATGTCAGCTGACATTTATGGGTAGGGAAAGTGATGCATAGGCATGTATAATATAGATTCTATTCCCTTCGATCGACATAGCTTCATCTTAAAACATGTGCATTAAGTGATTTTATCTGTGGGTGGAACATAACTGTCGCTTCTATGCTGCCATGCGGTGCCTAACTATTGTAAAAAAGACTAACTACGTTGTCAAACTACCAAAGAAGGACGTCTTTGGCCTCTGAGAAAACTAGTGTGGAATCGTACTCTTGCCCATACCACGTAAAATAGTAAGTTGCACCATCTTTGAGAGAATAACAGATGCACTGGATACAGAACTCCGCCAGCCCAACAGGAACAAGCTGGGTTCAGGAAAGGCAAATCATGTGATGATCAAATTGCAACTCCATGCATCATCGTCATCACAGAACAAAGCAGAGAATGGCAGTCAAACCTCACTCTACCTCAACTTCACTGACACCGGAGAGGCCTTCGGTAGACAGGATTGACTGAGAAATTGATTCATCAGCACGACGGCGTGCAGTGCCCGCGTCTGCATCAACCTCATTCAACAGCTGGCTGCATGAAAATGCCTACGAAGTGTCAGATGATTCACAACGGAATACTGACTCAGTGAGGCGTTCGAATTGAATACAGGAGTAAGACAAGGCTGACAGTCTGCATATTATCACCGATGATGATATTTTTGATTGTGGTGGACTGGAGTTTTCGTCAGACTGTGCATTGGGTACAAGAAGACAGGAATACGTTGGACTGACTGATAAGAAGACTGTATCTGGAAGATCTGGATTTCGTGTGTGGATGGTTTATGTCTAATGTCATTCACACAAACTCGAAGACTTAGAGGCAGGCGAAAACCAACAGATTGGCAGAAGAATTAGGCTAGTAGTGGAGACAGGACTCTAGGTGAAGATAGAGAAGATGAAGATAATCAACGAACGTCAACAGCAATAGCTAAAACAACTAGCACCAATCACTATCAACGGAAGAGATTTGACAAAAGTTACTGCCTTCACTTATCTGGCCATCAAGCATGGTTCCAACTACAGGAACACGGAAGGAATGAAGATTTCAAAGCCAGCCAGGAATCGGAAAGGTAAGCTATGCCTTCATCAACCTGAAACCAGTTTGGAAATCTTCTATACCCAGCATAAGGAGCAATATTTGAATTTTCAACACCAATGTGAAGTCAGTCAGTCGGTCAGTCCTTCTATATGGGTCAAAACCTTGCACTGCGTTTATGTTAAGAAAAGCATTTCCAACAAGTTAACGACTTTTATGAACAGCTGTCAAACTTCACTGGCTTCATTCTGAAGACCAAATGACCGACTGGTTGGTCAGAAAGAATTAGCAACAAGAAACTCTGGCTGGGAACAAACCAACAGGCGAAAGCTGATTACTCAACAAATATGTAGGAGAAAATGGAGATGGATCGAGCAAACACTGAAGAGGCCATCGAATGACATAGCGCCCAAGGCGGGATGTCACTCGAGTGCAACCCCAATGGGAAGTGACGAGTGGATCGTCTTAAGGTGCAAGGGTGACATGAATGAGATCGTTTAGTGAGGGCAATGGTGGACTCAGATGAAAGGGACAGAAGAAAATTGAACATAATGGAGATGTGTTGCTGAAGCCTTATGTTTTACTCGGAACCCAACGGAATAATAATAATAATCTATGCTATATAATCTTGATTTCAGTTTTAGTTGAATACGTATCTATGGAAACATTTACTTTTAATATTATATATATGAAATAAAATATTATCAAATTTATAAATTGTAGCTTACATCAAACTCATCTGTAAGATCTAGTCTTTCTCTAAGCTTCATAACAGCTTTACGAACAAGTCTCACTGGTAATCCACTTAGAATATAGAAGTAGGCAACGATAAAAATTGCAGATTGATGATTGTTTGAATCACTGGATAGAGAAAAATGAGAAAAAACATGGAAAATTATATAAAATATCTGATAACTAAGCTTTGAGATTACATGCATTCAATGACCAGTAGACATTGAGCAATCTCATCATGTTTCAAGTCTGAAATGTGATCAGACAAGCTAGATGACTAATCATTGGAATGAATAATTGAGTTCCAACACAGAACTTTGCACAGAAGTGCACCAGTTCAAGTTCGAGTTATCACCCTCCGTGTAGTAGAAGAAGGAGGACAAAACGGTTAACTGAAGAGAATAAATAGAACGATAATAAGCAGCACTATGAGTGAGAAAGAATATTAACATGAAAAAAACGCGACAGTTCTATTAGATATGGCTGATTACAAAAGGAGTGAATGCATCTGCACCGTTGATGATGATTTTGAGCCATATCATCAATAGTCTCCAGCCACGTGTTCTCAAAATCTCTTGGCCGAACGCCAGACGAACAGTCTATCCCTCCCTACACAGTAAAAACGAGGTAATAAAGAGCTCATGGACTAATATGAGGTTTTGGTTTGACTCTTTCCCAATGCAACCCTATGTCAACTAGGACTGAACGTCAAGAAAGGCGACTCGGCATGTGTAACACGTTCTAGCTATCTCAGTAAATGTAGCTCAGCAATCTCATCGAATGACTTCTCTTCATTACCTAGCAATTTATGCTCAGTCTGAATATTGTCTACCATACTATACCACTCAACACGGGGATGGAAGGTAATGTTGGGTGGTGGTAGGTGATTGGTAGGAATCTCTAAGCCAAGATTTCATGCTTATTGTCACTCATTAACAACGCCTATATCTGCAAACAAGAAGGAACAGACAGACTCTCTGCACAAGAGATGGCTTTCATTGCCCAAGTGATCAAGTGCGTAACACTTTCGCTTTCAAAACTAGGGGCAATGGGTTCAGTCCTCATTGGGAACACCATCACTCACTGAGGAATGCAGGTACATCCAAACAGCGAGTCCCAAAAAGGACAAAACTGCTCATCTTGGTTGGATTCAACTGCTAGGCACCATCCACCAACTGACATCAATTTACATGACCAGATATCTCAGGAAAAACTATGGAGTATATTAAAACAATTTTTTATTTTCAATAATTATGGTTACATGCTCAACTCCTGCTTCGAAACTCATCCACTAATGGAAATAGATTATGAATTCGGTAGGAATATCATCGATTAATTAAGGGGATGCTACATTTTGTGGGAATAATAAATGATTAAAATTTTTAAAAAAAGCATCTATCTGAACTCATTCTAACGAATGTTTTCTTGGTTACCAACTGTCCATTTTACAAAAGAAACTAACTGTATACCCTAAATGCTAAGCAGGTTTATCATTTCAACTCAACAAAGAAGTGATTCTTTATCTGCATTTTGTGAACCAAGTATGCTTAACTCTACACTTGACTGTGTCAATGTAACCCCACAATATAAATATTCTAGCTGCGTTAAAATGTCAACAGAATACCTTTAAAATGATCAAACGCCACTTCACGTATGATGATTAATTACATCATTCCTCTAAGTATGTTAAATAAAAAATCAAATAAGACTAACTACTACCTGAGGAAATTCAAACCTTTAATTGACCGCCTTCATTTTTAACCATTCAAGCAGACTTCGACTGGAACATGCTGGATTCAGGAGAAACAAGTCATATATTGACCAAATGGCCACACTACGGATCATCATTGAACAAAGCTTGGAATGGCAGTCACCTCTCCAGCTCAACTTCATTGACTTTGAAAAGACCTTCGACAACATCGATCGAGAGGTGATTTAGAAACTGCTTCGCTACCAATGGGTGCCACTGACAATTATACATCTCATCCAACAGTTGTACGACAATGATGCATACCAAGTGATCCACAACGGGAAACTTACGGAATCCTTAGAAGTGAGAACGGGAGTAAGGCAAGGCTGCCTACTATCGCCAATGATTTTCCTGATTGCAGTAGATTGGATAATGCGACAGACAGCGGGCAATGAGGAATCAGGCATAAAATGGACCCATACAAAAAACTTGGAAGATCTGGACTTCGCCGATGATATATGTCTGATTTCCCACAAACTGGAAGATGTGCAAGTGAAAAGCAACAAGCTGGCAGAAGAAGCATCCGAAGAAGTTAGGACTTCAGGTGAACATAGATAAAACAGAGGTGATGAACATTCCTGGCCAACACCAACAGCAACAGCAGCAACAGACAACAATCAGCATAAATGGGAGGAACCTGAAAGAAACAACCTCCTTTACCTACCTACCTACTCACCTACCTAGCTGGGAAGCATCGTTTCAACTACAGGCTGACGGAACTGACGAGGATATCAAAGCAAGAATCGGAAAAGCAAGACAAGCTTTCACTACTCTTAAGTCTGTGTGGAGGTCAACAGCACTCAGCATCAAAAATAACATCCAGATTTTCAACTCCAATGTGAAGTCATTGCTACTTACTATACGTTCGGATCAGAAACTTGGCGCGTCATGAACAAACTAGAGACCTTCATCAACAGTTTTCTTCGCTTAATACTAATCAAGATCAGATGGTCAGAAAAGACCAGCAATAGGGATCTCTAGAATTGAGCGAACCAACCAGGAACCGACTGTGAAACAAATAGGCAGGAAGAAATAGAAATGGATTGGCCATACTCTGAGGAAACCACCATGTGACATCACTAGACAAGCCATAGCTAAATAATAGCTAATAAATCTTGTTCGAAACGTCATCGAGTAAATAATACTGTTTGACTGACTGTGTGATACATCTAATAAACAAACTAACATGGAATTACTTACTACCACAGTCCCCAAGTTTTGCACATATATTTATTTATAATTCATTATATTCCACTAACTTTCAGTCTTTGTAGTTTTACTATTTTTGCAGTTTTATGCATTTATTTGTTTATAAAAGCAGTTAAATTGTTACAATACGTGTAAAATGCTAAGAATTCTATTCTGTATAATAATAATTACTATTATTGTTGTTTGGAATGTATTGATCGTGTTATATCATCGTTAGAACAATGAAATCTTTAAAGAATGCACATTTAATAAGTACTATAAGTTCATATAATTACAATAATTATTATAATGGTAGTAGTAGTAATAATAATGGCTTGATAGAAGATATATTTATATATATGATAAATGACTACTGAGAGACTTTTTATATTCGATTTAAGTGATAAATTGCCTTCTTTTATCATATTATGTGACAGATAATTAATTAACCCTTTTACTGGACCGGTGAACTAAAGTTGTCATCTATAAAAATGAAGTTCTTAGAACAGAAAACAGTGCCGATACACATCAGTTGTTATATATATATATATATATATATATATATATATATATAACAATAAAGAAGAGTGGGAAGAATACATCACTTGATAAATTGTAAGACAGAAGAGGTTGGTTGAGTTATACCAGCAGAAAGTCTCAAATTCTCTATGTACTAGTAAGTCAAACAAACATTTCCTCAGAAATCAGCAAGATATCAGACAACCAACAGAGATTTGAAGAGTAAGTGATGGTGAGACAGGAGATATTCAAATTACTCCCTATCACAGTGTTGTCTATATCACAGAAATCGGGGAATTCAATCAGTCCACTCACGTCTTGTTCACGTGTAAAATCAGAATCGAACAGTATGACATTTAAATGGATTTAGTTTAGGACGATTTGAGTGGGACGGTTTGTAGCCTTCAGATAAGAATGTGTTTGTGTGAGGACAATGCAGTTAAGAAACTACTTGGCGAGAAACTGTCATATCATCGTTATCATCAGCCGCTATGATTAAATTAGCTTTGGAAGAATATGGAATCTGATGCATCTGGAAAGAAAAGAGAAATGGCGAAACTTCACTGCCTTCAGGTTCACCTCTGTCCGTAAGCAAAGAAGTGGAGCTCTACTTGAGACGATTAAAAGTGAATGACGAGTTGGAGAGGACGTAGGATAAGCATATTAGATTAAAGAAATAGATAAACAGAAAGATAAGTAAAACAATGTGAAACCATTTCAAAAATGAGTGCTTAAGTTACTTTAAGTTATTTAATTTTAGATCGCAAAATATTAGAAATATATATGCATATATTGTATATAATATGAATTGAAAATATCTTTATATGAAAGTGTTAAGTTTTTTATTCCTTTATGTTCTCCAGTGGAACATAAGGTGCCTTCAAGCTAAAGGCTTGAATTTTCGGTGGCAGTGGTTATTATTTTTACGGGATGGGTTTGTTAGCCTCATGTCCAACCTCCCCTCTTCACCAGTCATAATGCTGGCTTAGCGAAGTAAAGGATTTGCGTCGGCCGGGGATCGAACCCCTGACCACATGAGGCGTGGTTGGCGAGTATTCTACCCCTGTGCTAACAACGCACATATATGTATATAGGTAGAAATTTCCAAAGAATTTTGTAGATGATATTTCAAGTATCTAAAATACTCTTCTTATCAATTAATAATGTTCTCTGAGCTGGTTGGTTTAGTTGCGGAGCTTTCGTCGTCCTTCTGGACAACATCTTCAGCGCAATATTTAGCATAAAGTGAAATGATTTAAATTTCTTCATGAATGATATAAATGCGTCTCCCGGTAACCATCTTTACATATGTATTGATCATTTTCTATTGACTTGGATTTTTAAACTTTCTGGTCACATGATTTACTTTTTATTAGTTGGTATATCACTTATTTTAAACGATAATCCCGTGTAAGTGTGGTTTATTCCCTGTGACACCGAACTCAACGAACACTGGGGATCAGTTTGCAAGATTCAGTTTGTGGAGATTTGATTTTTTTAAGTTTGACCACGAGTTGATATCAGTTAGAGAACCACCGGAAAACCATCAAAGTGTACTGGACAGATATTAGTTTGTAGTTTAGAACTACTCTTCAGAAGTGAGGCGTCGAACCTAGGACCTTCCTGTTAAAAGGTGAGTTTGTAGAAGATTCAGCCAGTGGAACCTAATCTA